AAACCACTAATGTTTAACACCAACACACCCTCACTTACACCCTTCATAGAAGTGTTATTTCCACATTGATGAGGCCCTAAGTTGCAATTCTCATTCTTGGTCACTCGATCGCTTCTTATCCCAAACAGACGATAGTTTTCCTTCAAAACAACAGTGTGAGAGAGAGGAGTTGAAAGAAAAAATGTCCTGCAATTCTATTTCGCTCTCCTTTCTTCAGAGCACTTGGGCATCCTCCCCAAACCAGAAGCTTATCAATGCGGCCCGCCCCAATTTAGTGCCTAGGCTTGCTCGCCACCCTCAACGGCTCGCCGTTGAAGCCAAGTCCAGTACCCGGACAGACGACAGGGTTGCTCGCCATTCACGCATCCGTAAGAAGGTAAGTTAAGACTTTCTAATTTTATGCTATTTTTTTGGCATTTCCTTTCAAATTCTGCATTTTCTTGACTTTAGCCGTTTTGTTTCTCTTTTCTTGCGCTTAAGTTCTTGAATCATTTCATTTCGTGGTGTGGAAGGTTAAGGGGACTGTAAAGTGAAGATCTTTCATGGGAATGTAAGTGAAGTAGAGAAAAATGTACTAAAAAAGTAGTTGTGTTGGAACCTGGGAATTGTCTTCCTTGCCAGGTGTTTGCTAATATGACTGACCCAAAAAATTTCTATAGAGTGGGCGAGGTTTTTGTTCTGATGAGTAGCAATGGTATATTTTGTGTTGTAATAATGGGACAAATAATTTATTGGAGGTTTCTTGCTATCTTCTGTATAGATTGTTGAGTAATTGTTATTAGTCATTACACTTCATTGGAGGCTCATTTTGTGGGCTTGTTGCCTGATAAATAATCAAACATGTAAATGCTGCCCAGCGGTTATGTCTGAATAAGAAAGCAAAAAATGAAGAAATAAAAACAAAACACAACTGCCGTTTGTAGCTTCTTTTGCTGAAACGCATGCATATTGCAAGCAAGGCTACCTACGATATGAGTTGCTGGATGGGAAACAAAATTGGATTAGTTTGGGAAGCCATTTTTTAGTTAATGGCTAAGAAAAATCTTTCTCAAGTAAATTGTTTATTACTTGTTTAGAATCGCAACTTGGTTGTTGTAACTTTAATCTCCCAATTTCCTGTGCAGCCCTGTTATTCTTGGTTGTCCATTGGCCTTTTATTCTACCAACACCTAAACCTTATGTTTGCTGCAAATGTCTCAACTTTTCAGATTGAAGGGACACCAGAAAGGCCGAGATTATGTGTTTTTCGCTCCAACAAGCACCTTTATGTCCAGGTCATTGATGACTCAAAGATGCACACACTTGCCTCAGCCTCTACTATGCAGAAACCCATTTCCGAGGAGTTTGACTACACCTCTGGTCCAACTATTGTAAGTTTGCATGATGCTCATTCCAAATATTCTTTCTTTTGACTATTATGAGTTAAATAAGACATAAAAAAATGTGGCACTGGTCGTTAGAGGAGAAAATCACATTTATGTAAAAGGGTTTTGTCTTGACAGGAGATTGCCAAACGAATGGGTGAAGTTATCGCAAAATCATGCCTTGAAAAAGGAATAACGAAGGTGGCCTTCGATCGAGGTGGTTATCTCTACCATGGGCGGATAGCGGCCCTCGCTGACTCTGCCCGGGAGAATGGTTTGCAGTTTTAGACTTCTAGCAAGAGAATTAATTATTCTTCATGCTAATATTTCATCCCTCTTTCTCATTCCTTTCCGTTTGCTACCGTGAATGTGTGTAAAATGGATGATAATGCTTTTGAAATTGGATGATGTTTTTGTGAATCAGCAACTCCTTGCAAAACCTTATGCGAAGAACTGACGTAAATCATTGGATCTTGGTTCGTCAGTTTGGTCTTTTTTCAACGTATGTAGCACTTGCCATTTAAGTTTTATTCCCTCTGATATTTGTGGTTCTCTTACCACATGAGATGGGATCGGACATTTCAGTCAAATCCTTTGCTGTAACAATTTTTCTACTCTAAATGTTGATGCTTGTGAATAATAAATTGTCAGAAATTCATATTTGCAAGCATTATAATATTACTGAGAAACAATTTTTTTCCCTATAATTTTCATATTATGTATGCATACACTACTTGTAATATGTATAACTTATTATCTCAATTCTCTCACAAACTACAAATATCACTTTTTTGTTCAACACAACAATATCACTCTCAAATTCTTCACCAAAAAAAAAATAATATATATATATATATATATATATTTTTATTATTATTATCATCTAGCACTAGTACTCCCTAGACATACATAAATTGAAAAGCCATCCAATCGCGCTCTAAGCACCACCACCCGATCCATACTTCTTCCCGAAGACGACCAACTGGAGTTTATCATAGCCAGCAAGCACGCCAGCACCTGCTATGGCCCGTAGAATGTTAACACCAGCACCCTTAAAGAGGGATTTCGGGCCCTCATTCTTCAAGATTTGAAAAAAACTACACACATACCTGCATGTTTCCAGTGAGAAGCACCGGCTTCAAAGAATCGTACATTCCAAAGTAGAGTCCACGGTAGACAATGATCCCGACACACGATATATTAAACCCACGATATAACCCAGCAATGCCGTCTGACGCTAAGGTCTTCCTGTAGACATCGATCAGACCATTGAACTGCCTTCCGCCGCCAGTCTTAGCGGCCTTGGCATCGTTTGCCAATCTCGTACGAGCATAGTCCAATGAGTAAACAAGCAAAGAAGAAGAAGCCCCAGCAGCACCGCCTGAGGCCAAGTTACCGGCAAACCATTTCCAATACCCATCTCTATCTTTCTTGAAGTTGAAAAGCCCCTTGAAGTAATCCTTGAACGCGAAATTGAAGGCCTGCATGAACAAATAATGCTCTAAAACTTGAGAATCTAGCGAAAAAACATCATATGGAGTTGATTATTTTTGAGTTTTTTGTCGAGAGTTGCCTGGGTTGGGAAGTAACGAATGACGTTAGTGGTGTTACTCCTCCAGAGAGCAGGGAAGCCCTCGTCCTTTATTGTCCGCCGGAAACAGTCCCCGACACTTTGGTAAGGCTCTCTTAGCCTCCCGGACTTGATCAGCTCGTCCTGGTTTTGTATCAGCAGCTTCACCCGCTCGAGAGGGGCTGCTGCTGTCTTGGACACGGCACCCGACACTCCGCCCATCAGAAAGTCGACCGCGAACCCAGCCAACCCTTTCTCCTGTGGGGCCCGCACGAGAACTGCCGAAATCTGACTAGACGAGGCCAACACGGGGTTTTGACTATCCATTGGGTTGAGAACTTTGAGAAATTGTGTATTTGGTGATAAATGGTAAGCTCTAAAAGGGTGGATTAATGGCTATGTATAGGATGTCATGGATTGCAGCTTTGAGTTCTCTGCTACAATTCCAATTGGAATTTTTGTCTGAAAATTCGTCCATGCTGACACCCCAAATTGAATGTCCACTTTTGACTGGATATACAGAGGCTGCGCCAGAAACCTTCCTTTTGATTTCTTCCCAACATTTCAAAGGATTTTGTGAAAAAGTGAAAATAGTCTTTTCCACCCTAGAATGTATTAAGTTTTTTCACATAATTTAACTTTTACACGTCTGAAAGTGCACAATGTGTACTTTTTCACCTCTCAAACTGCAAAGACATTGTGCGATGAATATCAAGTTATGCTACACTTATGCAGTACACTTGCACAATTCTTTCACACTTTCTAGGGTGAAAAAGTTAAAATGCGAAGACGTTGTGCGATGAATATGCGACAGTTATGCAATTGATATCACTGTACTAAAAATCGGCCTAGACGGACGCCTAGGCGTTAGGCGCTGCCCGGTCACCTCCGATTTGCATAAATCAGCTGAAAAAAATTGGCCAGACAGCGCCTAGTCGGACATAGGCGCTCTTAGGAGGGCTTGGCGGGCTCGGCGGCCAAGCGGCAAATTTTTATTATTTTTTTTTTAAATATTAATTACATTATTTTGTTATTATTTTTTTCTTATAATATATTAATATTATTATTTAGACTTAGGTGTGTTGATTATTATAAATTGAGATAATTTTATTTTGTAGGCAGTACAAAAAAATAAAAAATTAAGGTATTTAATCTTGATTTCTAGGCCCCGCCTAGGCGCTAGGCGCTGGTCGAGCGCCTAGCGACTTCTCAAACATTGATTAATATACAACAATTATGTAATAGAATACATGGCTTACCATATGACCGCGGCATGCATGAAGAATTTAACCTTACTGGACTGGTCCAATAGGCCCCAGGTTTTACCCTCAACACACTGTTAATCTCTTACACACAAACTATTTATGTTCCTAATACAGAAACTCATATTCATGATGCATTTTCCATGACTAATGAGTTGTTTCATGAGTTTTTAGCCTTTAAAAAGTCTCAAGAGGCAAAAACAGTAACAAACCTAACCCAAATTTGGGCATCTTTCATTGATACTAGAAACAGTATTACAAGTTTTTCTATTTCCTAGGCAAATCACTTATTTCTTGAACGTCTAAAAGGAAGGCTACAATCAGTAGATCTTCAGCAGAAGCTGAGTGTAGGGCAATTTCTTCTACTGCATGTGAAATCCAATGGCCATTATATTATCTGCTTTATAATTTTAAAACTCCACACATGTCTGTAGTTCAACTTTTATTTGATAATAAATCAACTATTGCTATTGCTACTAACACTGTTTTCCATGAACGTACAAAACATATACAAATTGATTGTCATTTGATTAAAGAAAAAGTCGCTCAAGGTATCATCAAGTTGCAACATATCAACACAAAAGATCAAGTGTTAGATACCCTAACAAAGGCTTTACCAGGGTCTGCCTTTACATACTTAATCTCCAAGCTTAACATGCACAATATACATGCTAAGCTTGCAGGGTATTATATTATATATATTAGCTTAGAAATTAGCTTAGAAAGGGTTGTAAAGTTGCTATTAACAATAGCAACTATAGGCTTACCTTATAAATTACTATTTTGTCCTTACATAACTTTCTGTATAAAAGAACCCCTACCACACTTTGTACACTTACTGTTCATCATTCTGAGTTCAATACAAGTTCACTTTTTCTTTTCCTTCTGACAGCTCTCTCTCTCTCTCTCTCTTTACTTTTGTCTGGATTGTGTAATCCATAATCCAAAAGAAGTTGTTATTTTTTGAAATTTTAGATCTCTATGAACAATTTGAGCATTAAAATGTATGTGAAGAAGCTGGTTAATTGGCATATATAGCTATATACATTTGATTCCAAAGTTTATTTGAAAGCATGATCAATGGATTCAGATGTTACGTTTGAGAATTATGTTACTTTCCTTCGGTCTTGGTAAACTCTCATTGCTTAAAAATGTGGAAATTATATCGAGAGGAAGGGGATTGAAAATAAAGCATCAGCCCTTAAAATAAATAAAATCAAATAATTGCCAAAGCTTCCTTTTTTATTTATTTTGAATAAGATAAAATAGTAGGGAAATCTTCCCTTAGACAGCAAGAAATGGGCAAAACTTAGGTGAACCCACAAACCAACCAGATGTGAGCTGTGCCTCGTGTCTCAACGTGCTAGTTCGCGTCGCCCACATTTTCACGCATCTCGCCGCCGACATTATTGTGGTTTGTGTACACCACTTATTAGTTAACCTTAATTGATTAATTAAATAAGATCTTCTTCCTTTATCTTTTTCTTTATGTCTTTCCCCTTTTTTTAAAGATTAGTGAACTTTATTATAATTCATATACTTTCCAGCCTAGGCTGAATTTTTTTTGCTAACTATATAATTTATATATTAACATATGCTGGTTAAAAAAATTATGTTTAATAATTGTAAAAATATAAACTACAAGTTTTTAATTTATAATTTTAAATAATTCTTACAGAGTAATATTATTTTTCATTTAAAATGATACATTTTGTCTGTCAGATTTGATTGTATTATATACAATATTTTTGCTTCTTATACCTTATAGTAAGCTTGATAGATAAATTTATCGTTATTTAATTGTAACTGTAAATATTTAAATTTAATTGTTTTTATTTATATATACAATATAAATTTCAAATTATAGATTAGAAAATGTGATTAAATTAATTTATCATATATAAAAAAAATAACAAGTATAAATGTTATTAACTTTTAAAATGTATTTGCAATTTAAGTTAGTCAAGTATTTAAATTTGAAAGTTCTAACAAACATGAACAAAGGTCTATATTTAATTATTTATATAGACTACTCCGAACCCTTATAAATTAACATATAGAATTACAAAGTGCTGAAAAACGCTGCATTTGTATGTAAGAAGATTATAAGGACCTCTTTATAAAACAACATAAACTAAAATGATAACATCTAGGCTTTTTTAAAATTAATAAATTATATTTCAAAATGACTCATTTATAACTTATTACAAAAAATGACATAAAATGGATTGTAAAATATTTTTGCTATACTTCTTAATAATAAAAATGCGAAATCAAATATCCAGACATCATTTTCATTTTGAACATCAAGTTCAAAGAAAATTAAATAGAGAATTCCTTTCCATCGTTTAAATTAGTTAATTGTTAATATAAGTACTTTATGCAATATTGTTGAAAGTTTTCTTTTAACTATTTTTTGCCTTGGTTCATAAAAAATTTTGGATCCGCCGCTGATTATAATCATGTGTTCGATGGACAAATTAAAATGTGAAGTGCTAAATTGGAACTACTATAAATTAAAGCAATCAATCTCTGAAAAACCACCATAAGGAAATAAAAATGAGCTAAAGATGAGTTTTTAATTTTTCTTATGCAATGAAGTGCATTTTGTACTAATCTCGCGGTAATTGTCTTTCTTAAATGGTATAGAATAAGTTCAAAGTTTATTTAAAATGTTACAATATTCATGATGTGTATATAGATTGTGTTTTATGTACATTTGTTGAAAAAATTAGTTAGATGTACTAATAAATATTTTAAATATTTTTAATTAAAACTAATATTAACAGAATTAGTATCTGAAACCAACACTTTGGATGGTGCTTATTGGTCAATACACGGTGTCTTTTGAGAAACCCAACCGGTATACTGATTGATATCCGCGGACTTGTGGCGGAACCTTTTGAAATTTCATAATTTCATTAATAAATGAAACTTCACAAGGATCGCAAGTCAATATTCAAAACGAAAATGTTGTTGATTGGCTAAATTTACTGCTGTAGAAAATTAAAAACAAGAAGAAGTTGAGGAAATTAGAAACATTTTACTATGGAATTCTTTTTCACTTGATTTGANGACCAACCCCAAAAGAATCTAACCTATAAAAAAAATATTGAACTGCTCAACAACATAGAAAAAGGCGAATTGAAACTGCACCAAAAATATTTTATACCAAAAAAAGTAAAAAACCACATTACACTGTACTGAAATGTACGATTTGACTCGATAAAAAATTACAATAAATAGAAAAAAGATATAAAAAACCCAACTTATGAAATAATAATTGAACCTCACTACATTACATAAAAAAATAAAACTGAAACGGAAGAAAATTTTTCACATTCAAAAAAATCGAATGAATCTCACCAAAATACACGACTTGGCTCAAATTTTCGGTTTAGGCTAGATTTGATTCCCCCTAAAAAAATAATAATATCAAAATTTAGTGATAAAGCCAAATGTGAACTAAAGCTGGAACCTTTTGAACTTAAAATATTTCATTTATTCAACATGTACCTACCGAACAGCCAGCTGTCCACGCTTCTGCTGGCCCCACACGCCATCACTTTTAGTATATCCCAAAACCTTATATAAACCCCCTCAATCCCATAGCTCAAAAGCATCAAAATCAATCGGATTTTATCATCTGTGAATTTCCAACTCAACAGCATAATTTTATTCGTAGAGATACAAATTCTAAGTCGATCAAATGGCGTTCGTTAAGGCCGTGATGTTGATGATTTTGGCAATCATGGCGACCGTGTCTTGTGCGTTTGCTCAAGGGGGGTTCGACAATCTTGCTCCGGCACCGTCACCCATCACCGGCGCCGCCGACGGAGTCTCTTTTGCGGTCTCCGGCGCGGTGGTCGCCGCCTCATTGGTTCTGTCTCTGTTGGCTCTCGTGATAAACTACTGATGGACTAAAGATTATTCAATTTTTTTTTATTTTTTTTCATAATATGTGGTTTTGCGATTTCGGATGTGTATGTGAGGACAGATTCTTTTTCTCATTCTTTTGATCATTACGCATATATTTGTACAATACATTGATCTTCATTTATATTA